TTATTCTCTATGTATTTTTGATTTTTCCATTAAATATTAAGAACATCTTCTATGCAGAAGTATTCTTTTCATCGTTATTCAATATATTCGTATGTTTTTGTCATTATTCAATATGTTTCAATATAGCAAGTAATAACACATCAAGTAGCTGTTAACTCACTAAAAAGAAAGCATATTTCCACTACTTAGCTTATGTAGTCAGTTATATAGACATTCTGGCCTGTGGTTTTTTCCTTTTTAAAAATATTTTCTAATATTTTTATGAAAGATATATTAGGAAACAGTTATAAAATCCAGTAATACTCATATACATATTACAAAAATAATGATTTTACTATCTACAAAGTAATTGCTTTAGTAATTAAAACATAAATTCAAATAGATAATGAATTGTGTAGAACTATCACTTAAAATGAGTGTGCATGTGTTCATATATTTATCCTTCAACATAAACATATTTATATGTACATATTTTACTGGCTGATTTTGTGTCAATTGATATAAGCTAGAAAGGAATGAATCTAAGTTGTGGAATTGTCTCCATGATATCCAGATCTAAGGCATTTTATCAACTAGTGATCAATGGGGGAGGCCCAGCCCATTTGTGTGTGATGCTATCCCTGGGCTGGTGGTTCTGGATTCTATAGTAAAGCAGGTTGAGTAAGTCAGGGGAAGCAAGCCAGTAAGTAGCACTACTCAATGAACTCTGTATCAGCTCCTGCCTCCAGTTTCCTGCCTTGCTTGAGTTCCTATCATTTCCTTTGGTGATGTGGAAATGGAAGGCAAATAAACCCTTTCCTCCTCATCCTGCATTTTGGTCATGGTGTTTTGTCATAGCAATATCTGTGTTTTTGTGTTTAAGATAGAGTGTAAAAGAATTCAAAATTTGAAGAGCACTATACACTTACTTAAAAATACATTATGAAATTTTGCATTCATATATTTAGATACACATTTCCTCATCCTGGTTACTTTACAAGTGACATTTATAACCTGTTCCCAAAGGAAACTTTAACTATAACATTTTTCATTAGATCACAGCTGTTACTTCCCAGGTAAATTTTATGAGGCAGATAAAAAGAATCTTCACAATAGGCTTGAAGGTATAAATAGTATTTCTGTAAATTTTATAATTATATATGTATTCATTTATTCAGAGTGCTATAGAAACTGCTATACACTACAAGTCTTTGCCCACAATAATGGATTTCTTGCATCTGGATCCTGGAACCAGAGGTCAAGGCTACTGGGACTTGTGCCTTAATTGCTGAGCTTGGTGGCTGCTTTCTCTTTGTTTATTCACAGGTCTTTGTCCAATGATAGTGTAAGGAGGGAGGAAGAGAACCACGTAAAAGAGAGAGAACTAAAGTCTCAGCAATTTCTTTGTAATGAGATCAAATACTATAATAGAGCATTCCCATTATGACATCATGTAAACACAAGTACTTTCCCAAACATCCATCTCCTTATAACCCATTTGGAGTTGGCACTTCACTTTGTGAACTTTGAGGGAATTCAGATAAGTTCACAGAGACACATATTTACAATATATGACTCCTGTCTTTAAAAAAATCCAAGAGTGAGAGGATGGAGCATGAGAGGGCTCAGGAAGAACAACTTTCTGTGTAAGCTTGGCCATCAGAGTTTGATCTCAGGACTGCAAGTGACAGTACAGAGAACATGCCATAGTGTTCCTCTGATCTTCACATACCATAGCTAGGATACCACAGATTTTTATTTTATTTTTGTGCTAATATATTGCTTGTCTGATCAATGATGGGAAGATTTGTAAAATAGTCTTTAAGAGTAGAAATGTCTACTTTATTTATTTATTTATTTTGGTTTTTTGAGACAGGGTTTCTCTGTAGTTTTGCACCTTTCCTGGAACTCACTTGGTAGACCAGGCTGGCCTCGAACTCACAGAGATCCGCCTGGCTCTGCCTCCCGAGTGCTGGGATTAAAGGCATGCGCCACCACCGCCCGGCTTGAAATGTCTACTTTAAAATGTGGAATAGTCATAAAAAAAGAACTAACTGTAAGTGGCTTAACTAATCAAAAGTTACAGTATTTTTATTTGTAATTAACATCTAATGAAACTGTAAAAAAGGTAAAATCATAAAACTTTCAGTAACATTAAAATTAATTGTCATTTTGTTAATCTTCAAATAGTTAAAAATATAGATAATATACAAATAAAATACCTTTAAATGGGCAATAATAATAATAATTCATAAATGAAATAAATGAATAGATAAAACATAACTTCTATTACCTAAATGCAAATCATTGCTTAGAACTGAAATTTTCTCCAGGGGAATTATAAAAAATGTTTCATTTTCCCCCTTCATTCAAAAACCTGATAGCGACATAATTTCAACCAAGCTATCTATGTGGCAATAACTAATACTAAAAATAAATGGAATTCACTAGGTATTAGTTATGACTAACATTGCTGTTTTCTCTAAGTTCAGATCCTATGTTTTCCCTTGTCACTTGATATAAACAATGAGGTCACTGTAATGCTTCTATTCATGTTTGTAATTTGACCTCTCAGCTATGAAATAATGTTTTCCAATTGAGATTTCTTCATCAACATTGTTCTTACCATTTTCATTTACTGTCTTTCCTAATCTTGACACCTCTCTGAATATGTTGGACTTTGTTTAAATGTATCCGTGTTCAAAGTGAAAGGGTTGTCATTAGCAAAGGAAAGTATTATTTTGTCGCATTCTCATGCTCCCTAAAGGTTGCTTATTTAATAAAGATTGACAGTTTACCAAAGTAGCTGATCTTTGAGCTTTGGCCATTCCTATGCCTCCCAGCTCCCCACAGGAAGGCTGAGATTCCAGAATCCCTGTGACTCATATGGCTTTATAGGAGTTCTGTGTATGTGAATGGACGTTCTCACAGTAGCACAGCAAGTGATTCAACCACTGAGTCATATGTCATATTCCTTCTCTCATGTCAAAGTGATCCACAACCATGGAGAGTGCACTCAATACTCAGGCTTAACGAATAATTGAATGTATTGGCATTTGTATGATGTGTTTCCTGCAGAGGTATCTGAAACCATGATGTTATAAACACCTCAAATTTTGAAATCCTCCCAATAATTTACATGAGCTTCCCATATGCTGTAGAATTAATCAAGGAGTAGAGTATGCTGAAGGAAAAACTATATTGGAATGAAAACACTTATGTTTAAATTTGATCTTAATCTGGGTTAAAGATAAGATGCTTTTTACTGAATTCTTTCTGAGATAAATCTTCCTTATGTTAAAATATACATATTTTGATAGACTATAATCCACATGAATATTTCTTTATGCCCTCTGTTAACTCTAAAAGCATGTCTTATTATAGGCCATGTTATTTAAAATAATTTTATCATTGAAAATAATCCACATTGGGCCCTGTGCTTAGGGAGACAGATACAGGTGCATCCCTGCAGCTTGCAGACAAGAGAGTCAATATGACTTGACTTTCAGATACATGGACAGACCCTATCTCAGGAAAAAAATAAAATGGAGAGTTATTGAAAGCTTGAACTCTTGTCATAGATATGCATGAAAAGACACCATCACCAGCAAACACACAAACATGTGCACATGAATACACACACACATACACACACACACACACACACACACACACACACACACACACAAAGTGTAAAAACAAGGGACAATACTCAGGATCTACGTTTAAAGAGTTTTAATTTTTATTACATTTTTAGTTTGTGTGTGTGTGTGTGTGTGTGTGTGTGTGTGTGTGTGTGTGTGTGTGTATGTGCATGTGTGTGTAGAGGGGGTGTGTTTGTGTGCTAGGCTTCTACATTAGGTGTCAATAATCAAATTCATGTCACCAAGCTTGAGAACATGTGCCTTTGGCTCCTGAGTCATATCACAGAGGGGGTCTAAATAGTTTTATTTAGTATGAGAGGTTTCCAAATTTATATCAGCATCATTACATTGAACAATCAAACTCTAATAACCTTAATGGTGCATTATTATACCACTAGCTGGAATTTAGGGTTTGTTCTATGGTATATGGTATATGAGATACAGTTTCAGAGAGAATCAACCTATATGGCTTATGCTTATTTTAATAGCAGCAAGGATTTATCACCTGACAAAGGCTTTCTTTTGGCCTTGCTGCCACGTTAATAACATCAAATTATTAAATCAGTTGTGTGTATATATGCATATATATATGTATGTATATATATATATATATGTTTATATGTGTGTATACATATAAATTTAATGAACATCATGTGCTAATGATCTGAACATTCACAAAATCCAGCATAGCATTAATCTTGAAAATGAGACATTAACCATATTAAGTATAGTGCAAATGCATCAGGTTTCATGATAATATAGAGCTAGCCCTCTGGAGCCAATGTTTGGCTTTGTCTCATAGATATTCTTGTGACAAAGTATTTTTTTTTAATTTTTTATTTTTTTCCAAGTGTCAAAAGCGAGTTTTTAATTATGAAAAAGCAATGTGATCTAGAAACTGACACAGTGGTATCTTTCTAATAAAATGACAGTAGATTTCCTAAATAATTTACAAAGAGTAGACACTGGTCTTGAATAGTGTTCCCCTCCCTCCCTGCACACCCCAGTTCCCCACAGTGAGCTGATAAGTAGGCCCCAAGAGCTCAGGCTTACATTCTACAAATATCTCCTCTCTTCCTAAGGGGCCCTGTGGGATCAGGCGTAAAAGTGGTCCCCAAGAAACTCTGCACTGGGAATAAAGGGGGTGGTTTCATGGGATGACTACTGCAGGGCCTTGGTCCTAGTTACAAGGTTCAGAAATGTCTAGTATCTTCAGGTACATTCCTAATATGTGTGGGCCTCTGTGAGGCTAGAGAACAGGGTGCTGTATGAGTCCTCCTGGAGAGCATGGGCAATTCCCATCACCTCTTCACGGTTTTCCTAAATCACTCTTGGGCTGTGGCCAGTGGTTATCAATGGGCCCAGATATGGCTGAAATAGAAGGCTTCTGGATGCCCTGTTAGTCAAGTCCTTGTTAGCAGTGGCCTGGGGATGCTGATGAGCCCAGTGCCTCCTCTGGAAGTTCATGGGGTGGGTGGCACGGACATCCTGATGGCTTGGCGGATGGACAGGGCCTGTTTCCTGTAGGATGCCTGCTGTCCTCATTCACGAATAAGGGAGACAGTCATGTCACCACTCTCTTCGGCCTTGATGGCTTTGTCCAGTTTTTGTGACAGCTTCTGGAGATGCTGGATTCCAGCCCCCACAGGCTCTAGGTCACTGTCAGACTCACTGGGAGAGCAGAGAGGTTCTGTGGAGGAACAGGGGCTCCGGAGGTCAGCCTCCCTCCTTAGTCGCTGACGTTGATGAGCATGTAGACCCATCTGGCCAGAGAGGCGCGGATGTCCCCCGACTCTGGCACCCAGGTTGGCCCTGTATAGCCGAGTGTTCTTCTGGCTCAGACTAGGTGGTGAGGACCCTCTGTCCTTCTGGACTTCTCGTTTTTTCCTCACTTTCACCTGTGTTCCCATCAGCCACCTGGTGCCACTTTGGCAGGACTCCTGGATTCTCTGGGACGTAGCACCCAAGGCACTTTTGGCTGAGTGAGCTGAAGCCTTAAGATGCTGCTGCTTTGGCTCTGGGGTTTCCAGGCGTTTCCAGGAGGGGCCAGTCCCGAGGTTGAGGCTGACGGCTCTCAGTGGCAGCCTCCTTTGGAACTGTCTGCACAGGGAGCCCAGGGAACCCGTCTCCAGATGGACCTCAGCAGACCGGGTCACCGCCTTCTCTAGATGCTCCTCCTTTAGGAGTGATCGTCTGCGCATGGAGGCCATCATGCCCTGCCACTGAGACGCCACGTGCTTGGTCCAGTCTCCTCTGCCCGCTAGACCCTCCCTGCCTGATACCCGAGACCTGAAGATTGACGTATCGTTAGATAAAAAAAAAAAAAAAAAAAAAAAAAAACTATTTCGACTGCATCAGTCATTGTTACCAGTGTTGACCACTCATCTCTTCCTCAGCAGAAGCTGATGTAACCACCACCATACAATAGGGTAGTAGAACAAGAGCTCAAGAGCTACCTTACCACCGGATCTAGAGTTCTTGGTTTGAAGTCAGTCTGATGACAGATGTACGTCAACAGGCAAGAAAATACTTCCCCATAATACTGGGCTAGGATGGCAGAGTGTGAACATGAAATTATGAAAGAGGATTGGACTTAACAAATTATTTGCAGATCGACTCAGTTCAGTAAAATCTCAGAAGGCCAGAATCCCCAGTGTCAGAATCCCCAGTGTCAGGATCCCCAGTGTCAGGATCCCCAGTGTCAGAATTCCCAGTGTCAGGATCCCCAATGTCAGAATCCCCAGTGTCAGAATCCTCAGTGTCAGGATCCCCAGTGTCAGGATCCCCAGTGTCGGAATCCCCAGTGTCAGGATCCCCAGTGTCAGGATCCCCAGTGTCGGGATCCCCAGTGTCAGGATCCCCAGTGTCAGGATCCCCAGTGTCAGGATCCCAGTGTCAGGATCCCCAGTGTCGGAATCCCCAGTGTCAGGATCCCCAGTGTCAGGATCCTCACTCTCATTGTAGTTGAACATGGCCAACAAATCACACAGTTTTCTTGGTGATTCTTTTAGGTTATAAGAAGATTTCTCAGAATTTAAATGGCATGAGGGGGCACTTGGGATAGATCTAAATGGAAGATCATTGACAAGTCACTGCTCTCGTGATACAATACATAAAATTAAGTCCTGTTTCATATTAATAAACTCACTTTTACATCTCAACATATAGTGGGTGTTCAATATAGTGCTTGCTGTTTCAGGAATGATGAAGGAACCATTTGGGGGATGAAATATGTGCTTGCTTTCATGGGTTTTTATTCTATTTTCTTATTAGATAAAAATAAGATCATGGAGAGAGGAGGGATCCAACACTACCTAACATGTTTTCTATTGTAAGAAGGCAACGTAGACCAGAATCACTTGTACGAGGGCTGGAAGTCCATCTCTGCTTGAGACCATATATTCTACACCTTTTCTGCTTTCTAATCAGTAAGAGAGAAAGAGGGAGACACTAAAATCTCTGGAAAGAGTGACTGAGATGGTACGATGTAAAGCATAACCCTCTTGATTGAAATGACACTTTATTTTAAACATTATGACACAAACATTATAATACACCTAAATTAAACATCAGTTTCTCTCTACATTTTTACCCTGCTGTATTATCGAAATTTCTACCTCAAACTAAGGTATCAAGTAAATTCATTATTTTACATTGTTGCCCAATAGTTTAAAAACAGGAAAACAAAGAAGTGTCAGCAAGCCATAGCTAAAGCAGAACTAAGAAAATGTCACTTAGCTTAAAAAAGAATAAAAAAATACAAATTCATAGTTTGAAATTAGAGACTTTTCCCTAAAAGTTGTGTTATAGAATTGTTGACAGTCTTATTTATCATGAGATATGTATTTTTTTAAATATATTCAACCAACTTGAAATAAAACAGATTTATCTTCATAAAAACTAGTGTGTTGTGGGGGAATATTAGAATGAGTTGGGAAAAAAAGAATTTTTCTTTCACATGTCAGGTTTGGGGATTCTATTTTCTTAAATCCATTTTTTCTGTAACTTGCCACTATGAGGTACATGCTATTGAATAATGGTGTCTCATCCTAAGTACAAAGAATGAAAATGCTCCAAAGAGCATGCAAATGTGTATTCAGTTAAAGATAAATAAGAAATAATTACAGAAAATAAAATTTTATAAAGTATTATGACTTAAAAGTAACTTCAAAACCCACACAAGTAAACATTTAAGCTGATGTGGAGACTCATGAAGAGACTTAAATTGGAGTTCCTCAGTTTCAGCTTTTTATATCTAACTACCATGTTACTATTTAAATTTGAGCATAAAACTGAAACAAAGACAACCAATGTATATATGATTCATCCTCATATTTTAAGACTGTTTCATAAATAAGAATTCCATGTCACACAGTTTTTTAGATTTGACTTCTCTCAGTAAAAAGATACTGTGTATATCCCATTGAAATTCTCAATAATATAAAGGTATTTTTGATAATTTTCAATAACAAGAAAAGCATTTTGGGCTGGGTGGTGGTGGCACACGCCTTTAATCCCAGCACTCGGGAGGCAGAGCAAGGTGGATCTCTGTGAGTTCAAGGCCAGCCTGGGCTACAGAGTGAGTTCCAGGATAGGCTCCAAAACTACAAAGAGATACCCTGTCTCGAAAAAAACAACAAACAAACAAACAAACAAACAAAACAACAACAACAACAAAAAAGAAAAGCATTTTGGTATTTAATTATGAAACAAAAATGTGGCATCTTTGGGGAATGAGAAACAAAACCAATATATAACTGATTATGCTAATATCAAAGCATTTTTAAACACTGTCCTTAAACTGGCAATTTGAGATGCTGCCTATTAAGTCACAGATAAAGCACATGCAAAAAGTTCTGTATGATTTATTTGTCTCTTTATTTTTATGGTGATGGGGATTGAACACATTTTAAACAAGCACATTATCACTGAATTACAGTTATAGTATTGGCATAAAAACAAACAGGTGGCTAAAGGGAACTGAATCGAAGACCCCTGACATAATTCTGCACACATAGGAACACCTGATTTTTAAGAAAGAAGCTATTTATACACTGGAAAAAAGAAAGCCTCCTCAACAAATGGTGCTGGCATCACTGGATGTTGGCATGCAGAAGAATGCAAATAGATCCATATCTATCACCCTCCACAAAATTCAAATCTAAATGGATCAATGAACTCAACATAAATCCAGTTACACAGAACCCTGATAGAAAAGAAAGTAGGAAGTAGCCTTGAATGCATTGACACAGGAGACAACTTCCTAAATAGAACACCAGTAGGACAGACACTAAGATCGACAATTAATAAATGGGACCCCATGAAACTGAAAAGCTTCTGTAAGGCAAAGGACATTGTCAATATGACAAAATGTCAGCTTACAGAATGGGAAAAGATCTTTACCAACCCCACAACCGACTGTGAGATGATCTCCAAAATATATAAAGAACTCAAGAAACTATACATCAAAATACCAAAAAATCCAATTAAAAATGAGGTATAGATCTAAACAGAGAATTTTCTACAGAAAAATCTCAAATGGTGGAGATACACAGAATTATTCCTCATCCTTATCCATCAGGGAAATGCAAATCAAATTGATGAGATGCCATCTTACATCTGTCAAAATAGGGAAGATCAAAAACACTAATGACAGCTTATGTTGGAGAGGATGTGGAGTAAGGGGAACAGTCTTCCACTGCTGGTGGTAGTGCCAACACGTACAGTCACTATGGAAATGGATATGACAGTTTCTTAGAAAACTGGGAATCGATCTACCTCAAGACACAGCTATACTAACATTAAGCCTATACCCAAAGGATGTTCAATCATACCATAAGGACACTTGCTCAACTATGTTCATAGCAGCATTATTCATAATAGCCAGAACCTGGAAACAACCTAGAAGCCCCTCAACCAAAAAACAGATGAAGAAAATGTGGTACATTTACACAGTGGAGTATTATTTAGTGGTAAAAAGCAATGATAACATGAAATCTGCAGGTAAATGGATGGAACTATTCCATCAGGATAAATCATCCTGAGTGAGGTAACCCAGACCCAGAAAGACAAGTATGGTATGTACTTACTTGTAAGTGGATTTTACTATAAAGTCAAGGACATACAGGCTACAATCCACAGCCCCAGAGAGGTTAGGTAGCAAGGAGGGCCCAAAGAGGGATAAATGGCTTTCCCCGGGAAGGGGAATAGAAGAGATCTCCTGGGTAAACTGGAGGTAAGGGGTGAGGAGAGAATGAGAACATGAGGGATCAGTTTGGGTAGATTGGGGGCAGGATGGAAGGGGAGAGTAATGAAAGAGATGTCTTAATGGGGGGGCATTTCAGGGTTAGGGAGAAATAGTAGGAAACAAAGTTGGGCATGGTAACATATACTTGCAATTCCAGTACTTTGGCTGAGACAGGAGAATCATGTTCTTGGTTTTCATATCCAAAGCAAAACAAAGAAAGATACAAAATTAACAATAGCCACAACAAAACAAATTATCAAACAAGGTTAATACAAACTAAAACATACTCTTGGACTAGAAAGTATATTAATATAGTTAACATTATTTATGTGTTAGCATAAAATTAAGTTCATAACCAATATACTATCAAATTTAATATTAACTCTTAAGCAAATACACTGCTGGCATAATTAAAGAAATTATGATAGAGCCAGCAAGATTAATTAGTATGCTTATAATGCACATTTGTCTAATATTTTATTAGAGAGTCAAAAGAATTGTACATATAGAAGCAATGATGTACAGAATTTAATTGATAGAATGTTAAAAACTTTTACACATACATTTAGTGATCGATGAGATGACAGACCTCATTTACTGCGGGACAGATGATACAAATGTAAGCATTTTAAAAAATATTTACAGCCAGCAAAGTAGAATTGAGATTGTAATTAGAATGGCCGTTTTCATAATACTAATTCTATAAAACCATGGGCATGAAACATCTTTTCATCTTCTGATGTATTTCTCAAATTCTTTCTTTAGCATTTTAACATTTTCATTGTTGATCTCTTTACCTTCTTGTGTATGATTTTCCTGAAAGCATGTTTTCATCTGTTTTCTGACTATTGTGAATTAAATTGTTTCCCTGACTTCTTCCTAAACTTGTTTGTTATTGGTATATAAAATGGCTACAGCTATCCACAGATGGCGGAGGAAATGAAGGAGTCCATTTTTCTATGACTGACTATTGATAGTTTTGTCATTGGCTTGAGTTGTGTAAACACTGGTGAGTATACCATGCTCCAATGGAGAGTTGCAAACCAAAGGTCACACAGATGGTCCTGGTGAAATTTACTGGGTGAAGCATTAAACAAAATCCCAGGGATATGAAAAAGCGACTTTTAAGGAAGAGAGAGGGGTTAGTATGGACAGGAAGAAGATAAAGGAGTGT